GTTTGGCTCAGCAGTAGAGCGTCGGGCTGCGGACTGAAAGGTCCCAGGTTTGATTCCAGTCAAGGGCATGTACATTGGTTGCGGGCACATCTCCAGTGGGGGGTGTGCAGGAGGCAGCTGGTCGATGTTTCTCTCTTGTTGGTGTTTCTGGCTCTCTATCTTTCTCCCTTCCTCTTCTCTTTAAAGTATCAATAATATACAGGTCCTCTCATTGGAAGCTATTCCTTTTTTTTTTTTTAATCTTTTTATTGATTTCAAAGAGGAAGAAAGAGTGAGATAGAAATATCCATGATGAGAGAGAATCATGGATCCACTGCCTCCTACAAGTCCCCCACTGGGGATCGAGCCCACAACCGGGGCATGTGCCCTTGACCGGAATCATACCTGGACCTTTCAGTTCTCAGGCCAATGCTCTATTCACTGAGCCAAACTGGCTAGGGTTGGAAGCTATTTCATGTAAGCGTCCACTGTACCATGTAGCATGGTCAACCATCATTAAGGAGAGAGATCATTCAGCTGGCAGCTGGGCTACTGTCCCTTCCAACTGACCTGAGAACTTTGGTTAGAGAAATGCTGTGCCTCCCCTTAGGCACGGAGTTGACAAAGCTCTATACATTAGTCACATAATTCCAAATCTACTTAAATGCCCGCCACGGGAGGTATACCTCATAACTCCATTTGGGATTTGCTATCTGTAAACCTAAAACACTCTGTTTGCTTCAAGGAGATGTTTTACTTAGCAAGTGACTCTGAGAATGCCTCACCCACAAATGGCAACCAGATTGCAGTCATACTACTCAGGACGTATCCATGCCTGGTGAGGCCTCCAGGGAAGGCGAAAAGGACTATAGCTCTCTTAGTATGCTCTCTCCCAAGAACCCTGCTCACTGCCTGTCCATTCCTCAGGGGCCTGGAAATCATACTTCCCCACCAGGATAGTCGGACTGTATGCCCCATCCTGCTCTCCATTGTGGTTGTTCCTGCACTGTAATCCTGCTAGGAAATTTACCAGAACTGGCACATCTGTAGTGAATGATGACAAGTGAAACACTAAGTGTCAGGGGACAATGTTGGGAAGAACATTTATAGCTATAACTCAACAGGTCAAATAGAGTAGAGGAAGTCATTTCCTTCTTCATCTCAGACCTTAGGGGAGAAGAGAATGCCTCCACTATGACTTAAATTGTGCCTGAATTAAGTTTGCTGGATTTAAGGGCGAGGGTGGTGGGGGAAGTACCCAGCTAGATTTGAATTTCAGATGATCAACCAATCACTTCTTAATATAAGTATGTCCCAAATATTACAAAGAATGTACTTACATTTAAAAAGTATTGGTTATCTGGAATTCAAATTTAACTGAGTGCCCTGGCAACTCTAGCTTGGATATTCAATAATGAAAACTGACACTTACAGACTAGACTTTCTTACCTATAGTTTCTTCATCTTTTGAAAGAAGAATTTTTGTTCTACATGCCTCATTGATTTTTGTTTATATTTCAACTTTTTTATTTTTTTATTTTGTTTTTTTTTTAATTGATTTTCGAGAGATAGAAGAAGGGAGTAGGGAGAGAGAGATAGAAACATTGATTGGTTGCCTCCTACATGCCCCCTACTGGGAATCCAGCAGCAGCCTGGACATGTACCCTCCCAGGAACCAAATCAGTGACCTTTTAATGCATAGGCCGACACTCAATCACTGAGCCATACAGTTTGGGCTGTTTTTAAACTTTTATTAGAAAAATCATAATAAACTTTTCAATGTGCATACATATTTTGGTTTAATCAATGCACAATGTGCTATTTGTGTTTTGCTTCTTTTTCTGGATTTTGAACTTTCATCTATCAGCACCATTGCCATATTTACTATCCTTATTGATATCTTCATGGTATGATATCATATTTACATCTTGAAGTTAACTTCTCCCCAATTATTAAATACTTATGTTTCTAGCTTTTTTCCTACTTCAAAAAGTGCTGTCATATCCATTTTCAAACAGATCCTCTTTTTTTCGTTTTTGGTGTAACTTATTGCGACATGTTCAGCTTTTGTTATTTTTTGTCAAGTTGTATTTCAGAGGAGATGGGACTCTGGGCCAATGTACCTGAGGCCTCTCCCACAAGGTCTTTTGACCTTTTGGTTTTTCCTAATTAATAGAAAGGCAATAGTAATTATTTTAATTAAAGCTCTGGCTGAACATTTTTCAATATATTTTTTCACAATTGCATTTCAATATATATGAATATGCCTGTCTTTCTTTTGATTTAGTCTTTCCACATTCTGGATTGTAGACTTTTGTGTGTGTATATATATATTTTTCATTGTTTTTATCTTTCTGTTGCAGTTCCTCTCATCTTAGTTTTGTTACTATCCATCATATAAAATAATTTACTTCAATATAATCAAACCTCCTTGTCACTATTGTCTTCCACAGTTTAAAAAATATATATATATTTCATTTCCTTCTAAGATTTTTATGGGAATGTTTAAAATGTTTAACTTATATCTCATCTGGAATTTATTGTGATCTGTGAGAATCAGGAGGTATATTGAGAAAAGTAAAAAATTTAGAAATTAAAAAAAATCCACCAGCATTAGCTTATGGCCTTAAGCAAGTCACTTATATCTTCTAATTCAATGTTCTCTACTAGACTGAAGGCAAGGACCTTGTCTTATTTCTCTTTATCTTCCCCACAATATCCAGCAAAGTACCTTACATTTAGGATAAATGTGATAAGGTTTGTATTTAAGTTATAATATATTTTTTGCATATTGCTATCAAATTGTTCTAATAGCACTCATTGAATAAGGATTCATATCCCAATTATTTATTTGGTTGTTTATGATTGGTCATGTATCAATGACACTCAGATTTGCCCCAATGGCAAAGCACCTAAGAGTTGTAGCACTCTGCAAAACATGGTGATATTAAAGTTAAAATAATGAAAATTAAAATGTGATGCTAAATCAGACACCAGCTTACACTACTTTCTAGTATAGTATAGACATCATATGATCAGATACCAGCTATTTTTAATTTATGGGAGAAATTTTCAAATTGAGAAAATTCTATCCAATAATTTAATTCCTCCTAATAATCAGGTGAAGAAAATCTACTGTGGAACAAGTTGTTCAAGAGCAAAGTTGAAAACCACATCTTACATTAGGCATTCCCAGTTGAGAATATAAATAAAAGCCTCTGATCAAGTATAAACACTATATAAAGTTCAGCTAAACCTAGCTGAACCCAAAAGTCTTTAAGATTAGTCTTTTTAGTTGACCAGTTTGGAATTCCTACAACATTAGAAAATCTAAAGGAGATTCATGTCAGATCTCCAGTGCATGCTCACACCAGCAAGCTTAACTCTAGATGCTTCTGTTTATCAATTTATAAATCAGAAGAGAAAACACAAAAGGACCTCACAACCTCATGTTCTACCATAGTAAAGACTATGGATTTTGCAAAACAAACAAGAGGTGGGTATGTTGGAACTATCAGAGGGAAAAAAAAAAAAAAAAGAAAGAAAGAAAGAAAGAAAAAGAAAAAAACACATTTCAATTCTGGATTTCTTATACTCTGAGGATGATACTAGTGTAAGGGGCTGGAGTCCTGTCTTCTACACAATGTTCCTGGAGATAAGGCTACTGGACCCTTCTGCCAGGAGTATCACTTGGCTATGCTAATAAATATTTTTTTCATGGAACTTACTTTTACTGAGACATTTGACTTTAAAAGAAAAAAATGATGTTTTGTTAAGAAAGATAATGATGCTGTTGTTTGTTGTTATTTTACTGCTAGAACAGGAATTAAGGATCTAGGGTTGGGTTCCCACTCTGCCACTTGATATGGGGTGAGTCATACAACATTTGTAGACCTCAGTTTCCTTTTATGGGAGGCGAAAAAAAAGAGTGTTCAGAATGGACAGTTTCTAAAATCCTATATCTTTCCAATAGTCTTGTTCAAATATAAATATGTTCCAATTCAAGAAAAATAAAGATGCAAGACTTCCTACTTCAGAACTGATAATCCACTATTCATCATGGTCCTTGCTGAGTCATTCTTCACTTAGAAAGTCCCCCTAAATTTTCTTAAATAGTAGAAATCTCTAGTGAAGTCAAACTGTGATTACAAATCTCCAACTCTTTTTTGTGAATAATTGGTTTATGATATACACTGGGTCTGTGAAAATGATATCTCTTCTTTAGACTATGACATTTGTGAACAAGATTCTACAGCGGTTGTGTGTATGCTGACAAGAAGTTAGAACTGCTGTACGCTGGTTTAGATATAGTGCCAAAAGGACAGCCGATTCCACAAAAATCATCTGCCTGAAAGGGAAATAAATCATGACCTCATTGCACACGTGATTTCTTAGCCTCCAGGGCACTCTTGGTCCAGGATTCTGAAATTAGGACTAAGACAAAGAGACTGACTGCTCCATGAAATAGGGCAAGCATCCTTTCCCCTTCTCCCTTGCACTGCCTCCAGAGACTGCACGGATCAATGCATTGTTCAAAGCATTTCAGTAAATACCAGCTCAAACCATTTTCCTACAAAATGCTCCCCACCGAAAAGTTTGCTTCTCTTCTACTCACAAGTGTGTGTGCTCCAGATGTCTTTGAACTCTCACTGTCAGTTGTGGTGCAAACCATCCCAGATTGCCTTCGTTGTCCTGAGTTATCTCACTAAGGGCACTTTCTACTCTGCAAAGGCTGCTCACCAATCTCTCCTTCACCAGCTTGCTTTATGTCACTCTTGACTGCTGATTCAGATAAAAGAGATGAAGGCAAAGTTACAGACAGTATCTCTTGTTTACAGTAGCAACCTCTGTGTGTTTGTTTTTTTAGGATAATATTTCTCTCAATGATAGCACAGCTCTATCATGCCCATTAAAATGAGACACAGTTCCTGCTAAGTGCATTTATGTGAAGAGAAATGTTTCACTGAATTTTCCCAAAAACCCCAGATGGTGTACAGTAAAGTTTTGCTACCTTGTCGCAGGTTCAGAAAACGGTCTTGCACAGAAGCAGCGAACACCTCGCCGAAGATGTCAGCAACCCAAAATGCTGAGTAGCCCTGAGGACACCATGTACTATAACCAGTTAAATGTGAGTTCAAAGTGGCCATAAAGCTGTTTCACCGGCTTTGTTTCCAGTTAATAATTCTGTTATTAATACCTGTTCCAGCCCCTCCAGCCCCACCCCCACCTCTTATGCTCTCGTCTTGAACATGTGCTTAGGCTCTTTATCTGTTGCTTTCATGTCAGGATGTCTGCCTTCACGGTGAATAATTGATGTGGTTTATCAAAGACGAGCAAGATGCATGCTTCATCAGGCTCACTTGAGCCCTTTGATCAAAAAAATTATGCTGTGACTTCTGATATTATCAGCATCTGCTTGCATTCAACACAAAATCACTTTGAATTAAAAATTAACGACTTGCTGCTTTGCTTTGACTGTGTGTTCTTGGCCCTCTCCACAGGGGACTCTAGAATATCAAGGGAGCAAGAGGAAGCCAAGAAAACTTGGGTAAATATCTGTCTTCTTAGTTCTAAGCAACTGTAAACAGAAGGGGTCCTTTGTGATATTACAGAAAATGCAAAACTTTCCTGAGAGGCTTCTAAAAATGTGCAATGGGTATAGCCCCGCTCTTGTTGACACTGGAGACTACTTTTCACAGTAGCAAGTGTACAGAACTTGAATCCATTCAGTCTGAAAAGGCTGGAATTTCCATCGAAAGGCAAATATTATTTCTCAGGGAATTGTACTTTTCCCATACGTGGAGACATGGCGGGTTGCATAAAACTCTCCCACACACAAGATCACTCCACACAGGGCAAATATGTGGCTTCCCCTACAGTTCCCTACCCCTGGGCCTTAAAGGTACAGGAAAATATCCTCCAGTAGTTCGACAGAAGATTCTAAGGAGTTTGAGCTCATTTAATTGTTAGCATCTCAATTGAGAATAAGGATGAGGTACCAGTTTAAGAACTGGAAGAGGTCAGGAGGGGAACTTGCTCACCTGAAGGAAAGCAGGTGGAGAAAGGCCAGGTAATTCACATACATCAAATTGCAATAAGGTCACCATTTCCAAACACCACTAACTTGGGCCATTATCCGAGTGTGACTCAGGTGGAAGGCTTTGTGTATCAGACCCCAGTTCCTCTGTGCTGCGGGAGCCTGGGCTACTCTGAGCTGTCCTTCTCCTCTCCCAGCCCCAGGGTTGGGACCCAACCCTGTTCCAAGCACTCAAACAACTTTAGGTGCCCCAGAGATGGCCGTGGCATTTCTTTTTCTACCGAAACTCTTTTCTTTGTTGCAGCCAAGTCAAAGTGCTCGATGGTGAAGATGAATATTACAAATCTCTGTCACCCGTGGGCTCGACCCCTGAGGAAGGCAACGCAGCCCACCCTTTCTTTTTTTCCTCATCCTCAAAAGGAGCATCTGCTGCTCAGCACTGAGTTGTCCTTCCTGTGCCTCCAGTCTGTTGAGGGTAAGCACAATCATGGTAATTGACAGCTTGTCATTTAAAAAGAAAGCCCTACAATGGGGTCACTTACTGAACAATTTGCAGATTCTTAACCATTTTCTCCTACCTCCATCACCTTCCCCACATCTGCTCTGCAGCTTGATCTGAGTAATCCCTTCTTTTTCTCAAACTAAGAGTCTCTTGGGGACACCGAGTGCACCTCCACTGCAGTAATAACCACCATTCACGCCCCCATCTAAAAGGATAACAATCTCACCATCAGCCAACTGTGGACACTGATCATATTTCTTTATTTTTTTCCTACCACATCCTTCCATGCAGAATCTGCCCCTGTGAACATCCAGAGGTTCCTTGCCTCCTCGGCTCTCCACAGCATCCCTTCCCCTTTGCTGGTCTTTCTATCCTGCCTGCCTCTCCCCAGGGGCAGGGCTTTGTTGCTGAGGGTCTCCATGCTGGCAGAGTATACCCAAGGTCTCCTAGGCCTGTATAATGTTTTGTGTATTTAGAAAGAGAGCCCTAAATTTTTTAGATTCTTCCTATAAGGCAAATGAACTCCTTTCTTGCTTGTTATTAGGGCAACAAAACCTTTGCCTCTTTACTCCACCTTGTTAAGACACCCACATCACCAGCAATAAAAGAAAGGAGTGAGTTGGAAAGAATCTTTGGACCTGTCAGAGTCCATGTCACATGGTTTTGTAACTTCCCACTCTCTGGTCGGCTGTCGGCAGGAATCATCCTCTCTCGTTCATCTCTGCGTGCACAGATCTCATACAGTGCCTGGCACAGAGTGAACGTCCAGTTAATGCCCACCCTCCACTGAGTGGAGAGACCTTGCTATATAAACATATCTGATAGAAAAGTTACTTTCAATTATATGTTATATGTGATTAATCACTTTTATTATCCCGTAAGTTCTGATTTTTTGTTCAAGGTTGTGCTAGTCTTATTGTAATGATGTTATATTACACATTATAATACTCAATATGATTCAACAGGCAAAACAATATGTGAGATTTCTGTGTGATGTAAAAAACCTACAAAACCCTTTCCCTAGAACAAATATTCTCAATTTTTTTGTTTGTTTGTTTATTTGTTTGTTTGTTTACATGGCAGATAGTACACATGGGAATACTCAGATTCTGAGAAAAATAAACTTGAGGCAATAGGAAAAAGTGCTTTTTAGAATTTTAAAGGGAAGAGTTTTAATAAGCATTTTACCAACATAAATAATAAAATGAGGCATTTAAAGATTTCAGAAATTGTAATTTTACAAGAAAAAGAAAGCCATTAATTCAGTAGTCAAACTTTACTTTTTAAAAACAGTCAATTTTTTTCCCAGACCTTCACCCCAAAGGTAATGTTGTTAAGGCATGTGAGTAGAGCAGAAGAAACACAAATGACCATCATTTTATTGTTTAAAAGTTATATATATATATATATCTTAGCATTATTATTAATATAAGTATTTTTTGGAAATTTCACTTTTATCATTGATTTGTCTACTTTTGATTTGCTAATATTAGCTGCTTTTCAGTCTGTTGAATAGAAATGTTCACAACTTCCCACTAATCCATGTACAACATAATTGTATACCTGCCTTGTTTCTAATTAAAACTTATCTATAAAAAAAATTTTTAAAGGAAATAGAAGTTATTATCTATATATATAAAAGGCTAATATGCAAAGTGTCCCCTCGGGAGTTCAACCAGGAGACCGGAAGTTCACTTGCTCTCTATTACATGTGCTGACCACCAGGTGGCAGTGTGAAATGAAGGTAGGCTCCAACCAGCAGCCATAAGGCCCCAATCGGCCTTGATCACTGTCCAGGCCTAGGGACCCCACCCATGCATGAATTTCGTACGCTGGGCCTCTACCCTGTTTCCCCGAAAATAAGACAGTGTCTTATATTAATTTTTTTCTCCCAAAGTTGCGCTAGGTCTTATTTTCAGGAGATGTCTTATCTTTCCATGCGCTAGGTCTTATTTTCGGAGGATGTCTTATTTTCCGGGAAACACGGTAGTAAAAACCATAATTCAGAAGCTCTGTAATAATTACTCATTGCCACAGCAATAACTCCTAGCACTGCATTAGAAATAGAGTTCACTATTATCTACAGCATAGGTAAGACAGACTCTAGATATTATTCTTGAGCTAGTTATAGTGCCACAAACTCAAAATGCAATTCTTAAAAGGAATTGATGAGAATGATGTAAGCTGGAATTTCATAAATGTCTTATTAATTTTATCAAAATAATAAGCACATCTCAAAAACAAAACCAAAATAAAATAGTACAGAGAGTTTATAGTGGAAAGCAATCTTCTCTATGCCCCTACCTTAGTCCCTGATAAGCAACCTTTTTTATTATTATTTCTAATTTTAATTATTGTAATGATTTCCAACATGTCTCTGAATAATTTCCTTCTGTGTTCTTGATTTACTCTTTTAGACAATATCTACTCTCTTTGTCTATGAAAGATGTGCATTTTATCTTAATTCCCCTCTCTTGACTTCTTCCAGTGCTTAAATTTTATGTTTAAATTTTTTTTTATTGCTTTTTAAACTTTGAATTATATAATTAAACATCTATTTTTGTGCTTTTGACTTTAATAGTATCCATGAGGCTGCCTTACATAAAAAAAACCAATAACCTGAAAGATAATGTCAAGTGAATAGGATAATGGACCCTGGACAAAACAGAAATAATTCTGAGGGTAGAATAGTTTTTTAAAATTTAACTGTAAACTTCTGGTATTCATGTTCTGAGCTGCTGTTTCTTCTTCCATTTTAGTTCATCTGCACATATGCCTCCATCCACTTTTTTACACTTAATTTAAAATATCATACGTATATAAAAAAGAGCACACATTTGAAGACTCAGCTCAGTAAGTTATCAGAAAGTGAACATCTGCCGGGACCAGTTTGGCTCAATGGATAGAGCGTCGGCTTGGGGACTGAAGGGTCCCAGGTTTGATTCCGGTCAAGGGCATGTACCTTGGTTGCGGGCATATCCCCAGTAGGGGGTGTGCAAGAGGCAGCTGATCAATGACACTCTCTCATCGATGTTTCTAACTTTCTATCTCTCTCCCTTCCTCTCTGTATAAAATCAATAAAATATATTTTAAAAAAGTGAACATCTATGTGACCACTCATGCAGCCAAGAGTAGAAGATTGTTAGCATCCTAGAAGACTCCCTCGTGTCCTTTCCCAATCACTACTACCCCCAGCCACCTCCCCAGAGATAAGCACTCCCATGACTTTTATGATAAACACTTCCATGATTTTCTTTATAGTTTTATCACTTACATGACCCCTAAACTCTATAGTTAGATTTTTTATATACATAGCTAGGTTTGGGGAAGTTTATATAAATGAAATTATGTAGTATATCATTTGGGGGATCTTGGTAGTTTTTTTTTTATTTAATGTTATAATTGTTAGTTTTATCTAGTTGTGGAATGTAAATATAATGCATTCATTTTCATGATTTCAGTATATGAATATGCCCTAACTGACTTAACCCATTCTACTTTTGATATATAAATATGAATCGTTTGCAATTTGGGACTATTTTGGAAGTTGCTACCACCAACATTATTATATATGTCCTAGTGTATATTTGGATGCATTTTTGTTGACTATCTAATATTAGAATTGCAGGGTTCTAAGGTAAACATATCTTCACCTTAGCAGGTAGTGCCGAACTGTTTTCCTGAGTGAGTGTAGTAATTTGCAATCCTGCCAGAGGTATAAGAAAACTTTTATTGGTCTGCATTCTCACCAATTCTTGCTATTATCAGTTTTCTTCATTTGAGCAGTCTATATTTTACCCCTTTTTTATTATTTGAAAAAATGCTAGTTGTATATGTTGCAACTTTTCTCCACTAGGTTGCTTTTCCTTTCATTCTCTTAAAGTTCTTTTAGTGAAAAAATAAATAAATAAATAAATAAATAAATAAGTGTAATTTGCCATAGGTGGTTTGGCTCAGTGGATAGAGCATCCACCTATGGACTGAAGAGTCTCAATTTTGATTCCCAGTCAAGGACACATACCTCAGTTGCAGGCTCAATCTCTGGCCCTGGTCGGGCACATGTGGGAGGCAACCAATTGATGTGCCTCTCTCAAATTGATGTTTCTCTTCCTCTGTCTTTCCTCCTCCCTTCTACTCTCTGTGAAAATCAATGGAAAAATATCCTTGGGTGAGGATTAACAAAACAAAAAAAAAGTGTAATTTTAAAATAGTACATCTTACCAATGTTTTCGTTTTTGATAGGTGCTTTTTATATGGCCTATTAAGAAGTCCTGGACTGCAAAGTCATAAAGACATCTGCCTTTCGATCTTCTGGAAGCATTATTATTTTGCCTTTTACATTTAGATCTTTAAACCACCCAAAATTGATTTTGCAAATGGTATGCAGTGGGGTAAATGATCTTGTTTTCTACAATAGATATTCAACTGCCTCCACCCCATTTAATGAAAAGACCTTCCTTTTCCTTCTGCTCTAAAATACTACCATTTATATAAATCAAGTGTTCATGAGAATGTTTCTATATTCTCTATTCTATCCCATTGATCTATTTGTTATCCTTGTCTTAATTATAATAGATCTTGGTATATGGCAGAGCAAGGTTTTCAGTACTTTTTTCCTCTCCAAGAGACCCTTGATTAATCTAGACACTGTGCATATTACAGAAGCAAATAATCAACTTTTGGGGGGGGGGAACTGTTAGGGTATTTTTTTAATTATCTGAGTCTATAGTCAATTTGGAACGAATTTCACGTTTATAATATTGAAGTTTTCAACTCATGAACATGGTATATCCTTCTATTTAGTTAGTTATTCCTTCTCTTCTTTCAAGAATGGTTTATAATTTTATATAAGAAATCTTATCCATATTTTGTTGGTTTTATTCCTATGAATCATATACAATTTGATATCATTTAAAGGATTTTAATTTTTTTGTTTGTTTT